TGAGACTAGGCTTTCATTTGTATTGATCATTTTTGTCTAGGTGTGGACACACATGTGCATCGTATATCTAATAGGCTGGGCTGGCTCAGGAAGGCGACCAAAAACCCGGAGGAAACACGGAAGGCCCTTGAGGAGTGGTTACCCAGGTAACAGCATGACAACTCACTGCTGATCCGCGAAACCTGATTAACTTGTGATCAACAAACCTATAAAGATGTCCAGGATTGATTTAGATACGTACCATACATCAGCGCTGCCAGTGGTTAATGTTGACTCTTTAACGTTTGACTGACAGTGGGAAGCAATGAAAATCAAAATGTGGAAATCTGGGAATTTATTTTTAGAATGCAAAATAATAATCAGTGCTCAACAACATGCAGATCTCACTATATTCTTCTGATGTCACGATATACCAGAAATGACAATATAATACTACACTTCTTTGGTCATAGATTATACATCTGATATTGTGAGAGACCTACTCCCAACAAATAATAAACAGGAAATTATATTTTTTCATTTAATTAGAATTTGACAGCATTTCTTGATTAAAAGCTACTTTATCTTCTCTTAATAAAAAAACAGATTAAAGCAGCCTTAATTAGCAAATGTGAGAGCAGGCACTTATAAAGTAAAGAGATCCTCAGGCCAGAGAGCAGTAGATGTCATGGTGACCCATTTTCAATCCATGAAATTTGACACTTTTATAAAAATGTATTGATATGGTGATATTAACACCAGCACCAGTGTGTTTTTCTTAGAGTGCAGTGATATCATTTAATTTACTACAAAAATATGTTTCAAAGTGCAGTGCTTCTGTAAAGTCATCAGGTGATGTTTCTCTGTTGCAGGGAGCTGTGGAGTGAGATCAACTGGCTGCTTGTGGGTTTTGGACAGCAGGTTTGTCTGCCCGTCAACCCTCTCTGCTCTGTGTGTCTGAACCAGCACAGCTGTCCATCTGCCCACAAGAACTCTCCAGCAAAGAGACCTAAATCGGGATCACCACGGTCTCCAAATCCAACCTCCTCTTCAAAAATAAAAACTGAACCTAAACAGGAAGCAGCTCTTAAAGATGAGATGATAAATAAGGAGTTACTACCCACATCTGTTTCCCACACCACAAAGAGAAGGCTAAAAACCAAGGTTAATGTTTAAATTTTACCGATGTTTGTGATTTCAGCAGACAGTGAGCACAAGAAGACATATTATGTGTTTACTTATACAGATAGATTTAAAAACATGTATATAAGAATGTATTTGACACTATAACCGCACCTTTAAAGGGTAAATATTTTTAATACTTTTCTTTTTTTTTACCAAATAAAAAACATGTTACTAATATTTTGTGTAAAGTTTTGTCTAAGAAGAAGAAAATAAAATACAAAAATTATGTCGTTTTATTTGTGTGGTGTCATAAACTACATTTTCTGAGGCGTGCAGTTTATAGCATTTTAATATTAATTAAAATGCTATAAACTGTACTTAAAAATATTGTACCTAGGATGTACAGGACTTATAGTTAGCATACAGTATAAATTGTTTTTAAAACTCACATTTTGAGTCTAATATGAACAGGATATAAATTATGACTAAGAAACCTAAGCAAATACCTGAAAATTCATACTCAATTTATCCTGCACAGAAAAGGAAATAAACTGCCATTTACAATCTTGTTAGAAAGTAAGAAAGTAAGCTTCTGTTTGAGGGGATAAGTAGGAGCCAAGTGTTACTAATTAAATACACAAGATGTTTTAACATATGGCTAATTTGGCACATTCAGGTGTGCTTTAGCCTTGTCACTCTATAAATGTGGCTTAGGTATGTTGCAACATAAAGAACCTAAAGACTTTTGGAACAATGTCCTTCGGACAGATGAGACCTAAGTGGAAATGTTTGGCCATAAATTACACTTTTGTAGAAAACCAAATAACAGCGTGGTGGTGGTGGTGGAGAGAAGGTGATCTGAGCTGCTTTTGCAGCCACAGGACCTGGGCACTTGTCAGTCATTGAGTTGACTATAAACATATCTGTATATCAAAGTGGGCTGTTCTAGAGTCTAATGTGAGGACATCTGTCCAACAGCTAAAGCTTGACCCAAATTGGGTCATGCAACAGGACAATGGCACCAAGAAAAGCAGCAAATCTATGAATGGTTGAAAAACAAAATAAGATGTTGCAGTTGTCCTGTCAACGTCCAAACTTTGAAGCCTAATTGAAATGCTATTGCAGAACCTTAAGAGAGATGTGCATCAAAGGATGCCCAGAAACCTCAATGAATTGCAGGGATGTTGTAAAGAGAGAGTGAGCCATAATTTCTCCACAAGAAGAAGAAAGAAACTGATACATTTATACAGAAAACACTTCCTTCATGTTATTCTTTCTAAAGGCAGATCTACACACTATTGAAACATGGGGTGTACTTTGTTTTTTGCATGAATGCAGAGAGTCCTATGAAAGCTTTATTCCTAACTATATAGGCTAAACTTTATTTAAGCAGGAAGTGAAACTCTTATATGCAACATTTTTCTGAAAAACCAAATAGAAAAATAAAAAAGTCCCCTATGGATTTGAGCACAGGACCATTTTGCTGTAAAGTAACAGTATTAATCACTGCACTACCAGACTGCTCATAGATGACCTAACCAGAGCACCCAGATAAAACTCACCAGGTAGGGGTGGAACATGCAAGCAGAAGTGCAATAACTGTGCTGTGCAATAACAGCCCAAATTACCTTTATATTACTCAGATGTCCTCCTCAAAGGTCACTTTCACAATTTAATCACTGCTTTATATTAACATGATTATTCATTTGAAATAATGAGTTTATTTCGTTAATTAGCTGAAGCAAGTAAAGCTCCACTGCTACTTAATATTGGTCATTTAAACATTAAATCTTATTGAATTTCCAATGTGACCCTCCTTTTACGACTATTCAGACCTGGTTCTTGTGACCAGTAACTTGTGACCTGTAATAGGTGTGGTATAACAAGAAATGTACAGGTAACAACAAAAGAAAACATCCTATCAGGTGTGCCTGCTACAGGGCTGATTGTGTTGTGTATGTTTGCTGCATGCCATAACTCACCGCTTAAAGTGAAAAGACTTGTTAGTTACACCTGTGTAACAATATTTCTTCTGCAGAAGGTTTAAAAAATGTAAGAACTTAACACTATGTAAGTCTTAAATATGCCCGAACCTCGAAGCTACTTTGAAGTGTTTTAGTGATTTAGTTGATGTCTTTAACCAGAGCTGAGCATCTTGCTTAAGGGTCAGTTATATTATTAGTCAGGTGTGTTTACAGAAGCCTCCCTACAGTTCACTTGTGCGCTTATTTTGCCTGTTTGATCGTTACTGTGCAGAAATATTTGCTTTCTTGGGGCTTTTTTTGTTGTTGTTGAGAATGTTAAACGTTTTAATTCTAAGTTTAAGATGCGCACTTGTGACGAGAATCTGCTTCTAGTTCATAAAACGGGAATGTGGGAGTTCGTATCCATCAAAGCTTTTAAAAATGTGCATGTGCATAAATTATGAGGTTTATTTGTGGGAGATGAGAGAAAACACACACAAAAACACCAGAAAAAAAAACTACTATTAAAAGCAGTTTATTGTTATGCATCCATCACATGACGTGTCTATCTTCAGACATGTCGTGTGAGGGATTTAATAATGTTCTATTCCTTGATTGCTCAGGGGAAGATCTGCTTTAGCGACCTATGTCTGTCACGGATGATTTTATATGCAAACCTACACGATTAGTATAGATAAACTGTTGCCTATGCAAATATTTACCATGTCAGTGTCTCATATTTACCAAGGTTCTCAGTCCTCGCACGTCAACTGTCCTGAATTTCTTTAAAGACTCACTTTGAAAGAGATAAATGCGCGTGCACCAGCTATCACGTCACGCAAGGACAGCTTATATTTCACGAAACATTTTTACCCAACTTTCTTTTTATAGATCTCCGGCAAAGATAAAGCTAAAGGGCGGATAAGGCAGATTTCCTTTCTCAGGTCACAGTTTATTCGTGTTTCAACTCCACCTACTTGGAAAAGATTCTGTCTCTCTGGGGAGGCTGTGAAAGACAAAAATGCCCTCAGAAGAACTCTTTCAGTACTTGTTGAGCATGTTTTAAACGCCTGATCTCACTAATTAAACAAGGTTTCCTTTCAAGCTATATTTTTTTTTTTGCTTGGAGAGCGCGGCGTCAGGTGTGCGCTAAGGGGGATAGTCCATGTGCCATTGACACCTCCTCACTCTCACCGGGTGGGACAGGAGGACACACGCCCAGCTGACAAAGAGAATTAAGTTTTGCGTGCCAGGAGCAGCTTTCTAATCTCTGATCTCTTGGATTATTCCTTTCACGGACGGGACTTAGTCCTTGTCCGTGGTTTTTGTTTTGTTTTTTGTTGGGGGTTTTTTTAACCACAATTTTACGCGCACTGTGCACAATTTTGTGCGCTCATATTTGCAGCTCTGGATATTTCACGATGGATTAAGCACTCATTAATTTTAGCCTACATTTTAATTTGTTTCATCGGAACAATTGTGGATTAGTTAAAGGCTCACAGGATGCCAAGCGATGCTGATCTTTTGGTCACTGAAGCGCATAACCACTTTGGATTAAAAGCCAGTGCGTTTTCACAGCTCTTAGGCAAAACACCTGCTTATTCTCCCGAGACCTTCTAACCTGTTTCCCTCCTTTACTGACGCACTGGGATGGAAATCGAGCTGAGACCAAAGCTTTGTTTTTTGGTCAAAGGAGAGCGTGGCTATGGATTTCATCTGCATGGCGAGCGGAATAGAGGAGGACAATTTATCCGCAAAGTCGAGCCCGGCTCCTCGGCTGACCTGGCCGGGCTGCGACCAGGTGACCGGTTGGTGGAGGTGAACGGAGAGAATGTAGAGAATGAAACTCATCATCAAGTGAGTGATGGTTCGGTAATTTATAGTTATTTTCATGTGTTTGCTTGGTTGAAATGATCCAGGAATGCCCATGAACCCTTACATATACAACGAGTACTTGTTAGACCATTTTCTCTTGCCTGAGGAGTAGAAGAGAGAGTGGGGTTGTAAAATGGGTCAGTGTGAGCCTTTTGTGATGGGAATGACTTTTTGCCTTTGTCATAACACAAAAGTGTAATGTAATTTAATGTAATGAGCTGATCAGTTCATTGTAAACAGCTTAGACTGAATGACACATCTAACCATTTTAATATATATGAAACTCTTTGCTGTCACTCCTTTCTCCTGTCTGAAGGTAGTGAACAGGATCCGTGAGGTGCCCCACCGCACCAGACTGTTGGTGGTGGATAGAGAAACAGAAGACTACCTCTGCAGCCATGGCCTGGCCTGCACAGAAGACCTGGCCATTGAGATGGGAACCCTCTCCCCACGTCCCTCTCCTGGGCAGACACCCTGCATCTCTCCCAGAGCTAATTCACCCATGACGCCCAGCTACACTCCTGTGTTTACTCCTGTGTTTCATTATCTAGCTGCAGAGTCACCCACTCGCATGATCACACAAGGCAAGGTCAAGAGCTCCTCAGTGACTTCAAGTATAGTGACAGACCCGGAGGTAAGAGTGAGCATCAAGACACTTTTTATGAGCACCAGAGGAACAGTTGAGTCTTCAAAATAATTCTATGTGATTACTGTGAACCAATGTGTTAATGTGCTAAGAGTGTGTAAGACCTGATGTTTCTCATGCACTAATCTGTACTTGGCTGGCATGCTGCCTGGAGACAGTCTCAGACAAGTACTTTTAGAAAGCCTGTTGACTTGTCTTAACAGGTGAGACTGAAAAAAATCCAACAATAACAAATCACAAGGCTGCCCTCCTGAAACTCGCTTAAATGGGGTTAAAACATTAAGATGAAGGTACATGAATTTCTTCATAAAATATATAATTGTATGTGGGAGTTTAAATAACTATTATTAATTATGATGTAGGTGTCTTGGACAGAGATGATACTCACTGGAATACTGAAATTTACAGTGGCACGGTGGTTAGCACCGTTGCCACACAGCAAGAAGGTGCTGGGTTCAAATCCATCAAAAGTGTTTCTGTGGGTTATATCCAGAGGCTCGGGCTTCCTCCCACAGTCCAAAGACATGCATTTGGTTAGGTTAACTGGTGATTCTAAATTGTCCATAAGGTTGGATGTGAGTGCAAATGGTTGTCTGTCTTGCCCCTGTGACAGACTGGTGATCTGTCCAGGGTGTACCCTGCGTCTCACCTTTTGGCAGTTGGGATAAGCTCCACCCCCACAGAACCCTGAACTGGATAAGCGTAAAAGGATGGGGGGACTATTTGGGAGGTTAAATTACTTTAACC